AGACCCTCAGAGCATGCCCCACATCTGCGACCTGGGGTGGGTGGGAGACTGGGTGGGGCTTCTCCCTTAAAATCTCCTTTTACATTAGATACAGTAAGGAAACAACACGGAACTAATTGTCTTACCCATCTTCCTGTAGTGCTTGAACCTTTCTACCCTAATTATGTCAAGATTGTCAAAAATAATAATAAAAAGAAAGAAAGAAAACAAAAAGTGTCATGTGACAGTGTCTTTGGTGCGGGGGGGGGGGTGCGGTCTGCCAGAAGATGCCCTCCTGCCCTCCCCTGAGCCTTTAGCAACTGCAACCTGTGCATAATAAAGCAGACATTCCTCACCAGCTTGTCTCTAGTGCTTCTTATGGCCAAAGAGCATCGTTGCCTCACCCTCGGTGACCTTGGGGCCTGCTGGCAGGCCTACGCCCCAGAGTCTCCCATGTGGGTGCAGGGTTCCAGGGACTTGAACCATCCTCCACTGCCTTCCCAGGCCACAAGCACAGAACTGGATGGGAAGTACAGCAGCTGGGACACAAACTGGTACCCATATGGTGTACTAGCACTTGAAGGAGGGATTAGTCTGTTGATCCACAGCTCTTGACTCATAAATAAGTTTCTTTAAAAAATAAATTAAAACACACACACACTAAATAAATAAACAAATAAATGGCCTGGCACAATAGCGTAGCAGTTAAAGTCCTTGCCTTGAATATGCCAGGATTCCATATGGGCACCAGTTCTAATCCTGGCTGCTCCATTTCCAATCCAGCTCCCTGCCTGTGGCCTGGGAAAGCAGTTGAGGATGGCCCAAAGCCCTGGGACCCTGCACCTGCGTGGGAGACCTGGAGGAGGTTCCTGGCTCCTGGTTTCAGATTGGCACAGCACCCGCCACTGCGGTCACTTGGGGAGTGAATCATTGGATGGATGATTTTCCTCTCTGTATATCTGCGTTTCCAATAAAAATAAATATAAATCTAGAAAAATAAATAAATAAATAAATAAATAAATAAATATAAACCCACAAGATTTTCAAAGGGCAAAGTCAACCCATCTGAAAACGTTTTAAGGTTTAGGGCTTTTAGTTTTCCAGGTTTCTCCCTCAATCTCATGGCTTCAACTACAAAAACCACACCTGATTGGTGATTGGGGTGCATGTCTGAAGTCACCAATCAGAGTAATTATGTAGCATAAACAATAAGCAAATGGCATCAGCTGGGCATATCCCAGTGCGTGGCCTGGGCAAAGGCAGACTGCGTGTTTGCCTTAAGTCGTGGGCCAGCTCAGCCCTGACCATCAGCCTGTTCCCATCCCGCTCATTCCCGCAGGAGCACTTAAGACTAGTGGTCTGCCCTTGGGCCCAGACCCCTGCTTCCACTGGCCTCTGAGCAGGCCTGATTGGCGACACCTGCTGCACCATGGCACTGCCCAGCCCTGACGGCGCCCTCCTCACCCGGCGCAATGCCCACTCCCTGGACGGAGCCTCATGTGGCCCAGTCCTGACGGCGCCCTCCTCACCCAGCTCAGTGCCCACTCCCTGGACGGAGCCTCATGCGGCCCAGCCCTGACGGCGACCTCCTCACCCAGCTCAGTGCCCACTCCCTGGACGGAGCCTCATGCGGCCCAGCCCTGACGGCGCCCTCCTCACCCAGCTCAGTGCCCCCTCCCTAGACGGAGCCTCATGTGGCCCAGCCCTGACGGCGCCCTCCTCACCCAGCTCAGTGCCCACTCCCTGGGACGGAGCTTCATGCTGCCTGCTGCTCCTCTTGAGGGAGTCCAGGTCTGCCTCAGCTCCCACTGGAGTGTTCATCTAGGTCCTTCCTGAGAGGCTTCACTCACACTCCAGGGTGCACAGGCATTCCTGGGGCGCCCGGTTAAACACAGACAGACCCACACCAGGACAGGCTGATGTTGTAGGTAAAGGACTTACATTTTTGTGTTCCCAAGAGAGCAGCAGCGTCACGTTCATGAGTTCCAAAGAAATCACACACAGGGAAGGACATGACTTCATTCTGCTCACCGGCGGGACTGCCTCCAGCTGGAGTTCCTGGTTAAATAGTGTGTGCTTAACAAGCACCACTGCCCAAAGCAGTCAGAGCCGCAGGTGCACTCCTGCCGAGCCCCGGGGAGCCACAGCTCCTCACCAGAGTCCACTTTAGATGCTGACTCTGGGGCTGGGGGTAGGGAGGCCTCTCCCAGAGCCTCCCCCAAGCAAGGAGGTTGTGTGGGAGCTGCTAGGAACACAGCCAGCGTGCTGCAACCTGTGGAGGGGGACCCACCCTTGTAAGGAATCCTCAACACACATACCATGAGCTACAGGTCAGTAATTTTTCTGTTCTGAGATGTAAATACTATAAATGCACATGAGCAAAGCTCAGCCACACATATTTTTGTACCTGGAACTCATACTCCTGCTAAGACCTGGTGTACCCTGCATGGTCCCAGCCCAGGAAAGCAGTGGAGGATGACCAAAGCACACGGACCCCTGCAGCCCACATGGCAGACTTGGAAACTCCTGGTGCCTGGCTTTGGCCCCAGGTGTCCGCTATAGTCATTTGGGAAGTGGGCTGGCACGTGGAAGATTTCTCTTGCTCTCTCTTCCAAACACATAAATCTTAAAAAATAATTTTTTTTTTAAATAGCAGGAATCGGAGTGCCTGCACATTTGAATCTTATGCCACATGCACTTTCAAAATGGTTTATTTTTAGCTACTTGAAAGGTGTATCGACAGAGAAACTTGGATCTGCTGGCTCACTCCCCAAATGCCCAAAGCAAGGGCTAGGCTGGGCTGAAGCCAGGAGCCCAGAGCTTCTTTTGGGTCTCCCATGTGGGTGCGGGGGCCCAAGCACTTGGGTCATCCTCTGCTGCTTTCCCAGACACATGAGCAGGGAGCTGGATTAGGTGTGACTAGAACCAGCACTGCAATATGGTACATGGGCACCCCCAGGAGCAGCTCAATTCACTGTACCACCTCAGCCCCTGAGGATTTTGCAATTCAAGGAGAAAAGAAAACATCCCATCTACTACGTAGCTCAGGTTGTGGGCAGAATGTTCACATCTCCCCAGGACCCCTGTGTTGAGCCCTACCCCCAAGGCATTTGCGGGTGGGGCTGTAGCAGGTGGCTTGGGTGACAGAAGGTCATGAATGAATCTTGCTACCATATGGAGTTTGCAAGAAGGCAGCCCCTGCCACCCAGGAGGAAGGTCCTCCCCAGAACTGTACCTGTCACACTGCCCCGAGGACTGTGAGCCATCAGGGAAGCCACCCAGGATGTGCTCCTCTGTCCCTCAGTGCACAAATTACGTTTTCCTTAGCAGCTCCATCCCCGATAGACCCCCAGGTATAATGCTCCAAAGTACCATGACCTACGTGTGCCTTCTCATCTTCTCTCCACCTGTTCTTTTTTTTTTTTTTTCCATTGGAAAGGCGGATACACAGAGAGGAGAGACAGAGAGGAAGATCTTCCGTCCGATGATTCACTCCCCAAGTGAGCGCAACGGCCAATGCTATGCCAATCCGAAGCCAGGAGCCTCTTCCGGGTCTCCCACGTGGGTGCAGGTTCCCAAGGCTTTGGGCTGTCCTCGACTGCTTTCCCAGGCCACAGGCAGGGAGCTGGATGGGAAGGGAAGCAGGGCTGCCGGGATAGAACCGGCGCCCATATGGGATCCCGGGCATGCAAGGTGAGGACCTTAACCACTGCGCCATCGCGCCGGGCCCTCTCCACCTGTTCGTACAGAAATAGCAGGTACTGGCATTGTGGTGTGGTAGGTTAAGCTGCTACCTACAGATGCAGGCAAACCATATGAACACCTGTTCGAGTCCTAGCTGCTCTCTTCCCTGCAGATGGACGAAAATGTGCCTGTGGGAGGAAGTGACATTAAAACTCAATGACAGCAACACAGATGGGAGGGACCCAACAATTCCTAACAATCTTATTTTAGCCTCCATTTTATCCTGTGCTCATTTGGCAGGAAGTCGAGTGAGTGTGGTGGGGCACTGCCTTAAGAGCTAGACAGGATGCCCAGGGCCCTGTGTGGGTCACAGCCTCTGCCCTTCACCGTGGCCCTCAGGTGGGCTAGAGTGACAGGCCACCAAGGACTTTGATCAGCTCTGCAGTTCAGGAAATCAGCTCTCTGTGTGGGTTTCTGTCCCAAACTGGATGTTAGAAGCATGTCATGGCAATTGGTCCCTTGGTCACCCCTCATGTGGTGGCCTTGGGTACACCTAGAGACAAGGCACAAATTAACATGTAAAGCAACAGTGTGGCTAACATGCCTTTCCTCTCTGAACCATTGGCTGCAACATCAAGGAATGGATGGCTAGGAGGACGTAAGTGGACATGAAAATAGAAAGCAGAAAGACGCTGTGGTACAGAGGGTTGAGCCACCAGTCAGGGCACCCAGATCCCACACTGTGGTGCCTGGGTTTGAATTCCGGTTACTTCATGTTTTGATCTAGCTCCTTGCTAACACATCCGTTGGAGAGCAGCAGAGGGTGGCTGAAGTTGTGGAGACGCTGCCACCGAAGCAGTGCAAGAGCTGGCTAGAGTCTGGGGTCTCTGGTTTCTGCCGCAGGCTCAGCTCTGGCAGTTGTGGGTGTCTGGGGAGTGAACCAACAGATATAAGACCTTGTCACTCTTTCAAAAGTGCAAATACTTGGGCCACTTTATTCAGGGCTGAGCATGGCCTGGATGTACCACAGAAACGTCTGATAAGCTGAATGGATCAGGAAAGTCCACACATGGCAGGGACAAGAGTAAAATCTTGGAAAGGCGTGTGCTTTGTAGTACAGTCATTGGGAAAATGAACTGCATGAAATTCCCCTGGATCCAAACAAGATGGAGAAACGCAGGGCTTGCTTTACCTGCTGGAGTCCCCGAAGAGCTGCCCCAGGACAGGGCAGCAAGCAGAATTTCTTATCAAGATGATGACAAAAAGATGCAGGGACCATGGGAAGGACACACTGCTCCTCAGACATGACCTTGCCACAAAGAAGACCAAACAGGAGGGACTTACAAAACAAACTTTATTCCAATTCCCCCTCCCCACCCCTCCAAAAAAGGCCGTTAGCTTTGAAACATTGAACAGTCATTTTAATCACAGAATTCAAAATGTCACACCAAAACAGTCTTGTGCACTTAGTCATTTTTAGTGAGGGGACGTGCACAGACGGCCCCCCTGCACACACACATCCGTGTGGAGGCTATTGAGCATTCCTTATTAAGCAAAAAGGGTTAAAAAGGGAGAGTCCTCAACTCCAAGTAATGCCTGTTCAAGTCTTCCATGTGTACTCGCTTACGCAGAGGGAGAGAGGAATATCTGAACTAGAAAGAAATCAAGTCTGAGTTCTTAACCCTTTATCCCCGGTATCACTTCCATGAAGCCTTCGTGGAGACCCCGCACACACCCCGGGCTCCAGTACTTTGTCCCCACGGAGCAGATGCAGGAACAATGCTGAGTGCAGCCGGCCGTGGGCCCCCACCCTCACTTCACAGCCCATCTTGCTCCCCATTCTTCCACACTCTCACCTCCTCATGCCGCACAACAGCCCGGGCACTGCGGTATTGTACCGCTCTCACCCCATCCTGTCTTATTGCACAGTTCATAACAGCGAGCGATTAGAACAGCAAACAGGAATTAAGGTGGGCATTGCCTACTTCAGCAAAAATGCCAGCATTATCCCCACCATGAACGAAACCAATCACTCACACACACACACACACACACACACACACACGCACACCACCACACAACGGCTGTGTTTGTGAAGCTGCCCTGAGGCAGCTCAGGCCACGCTCTGCGTGCTAAATACAGAAGCCCCACTACTAGGGGCGTCAGGTCCTGAGGGGGCAGGGTGGCAGGTGCGTGTGCTTGGCAGCCACCTGTGACACATGCCTGTCACAAGGCCCTGTTGAAAGCTTTCCCAACATGTTCAATCAGGTTCACCTTTACACAGAAGGTAAAAAAGGTAGCGAGAATCCCTTATGAAGAACACGTTTGGATGGAAAAGGTCAAAGTTATTGGCCACAAGTTCTATTCAATCTTTTTTGTCAAATTTTATAACTCTACAGGACAACACAAAACCAGCCCCGGTAATGTATTTGCAGTTTGGTCTTCAAAAGCTGTAAAAAGGGACAAGTTAAAAAAAAAAAACTGAATTAAAACCATTAAAAATGTTTTTCAATGCCATGTATCAGAGACAGCAAAAACCAAAACATTTCTGCATTTCTCTTAGAGTCCTTAAAAGGTGAAGACTGTATTTTTTAAAAAGTGCAATCCTACTGCCTGCCTGGAGTGTGTAGACCAAGGCCGCCCGGGAGGGAGTGTGTTCTTGGGCCTGGGCTGCAGCACGGGCTAACTGCCCTGGCCTTGCTGAGCACCTAGCCGTGGCCCGAGTGTGAGTCCCATGAAGGACTGGTCAGTCCCTTCTTCCCCTGTGGATGTCTGCTCCCCGACTAGCCAGCAGGCCAGAAGGAGCTCCTGATGTCCTGTTACGAAACTCTGGCGTGCCATGTCTTGCTCTCTGCACAGCCCACGCTGTCTCCAGTACTGCTCTAACAGGTGCCGTGAGGCCACTGGACTGCGCTGCAGAGTTGTCACTTCTCCCGGCTTGAAGGGGGCTGCTGGCTTTCCTTGAAAGCTTGGCAGGGACAAGCAGTGGAGAAGCAGGCTTTACTGGGGTCGGAGGTGCATGCCCTTGAGGTGGCTGCCCAGAAAGGAGACAGTAACAGCAAACTCGGGGATGCCGCCTTGCTGGGTGACATCCGCAGAGGGGGTGGGGTCCTGAGACTCAGGGACCACTTTCCCAGTGTGTTTTCTTAATTTCCTTACTGATTCTATGGGTGTGAGTTGCTGTTTCATGTTGGAAAACACATAAAAGTGTCCAATTTCTTTGACAGATACGAGCATTTAAGTGAGGGTGAGGATCTGACCTTTAGAATTCAAAACTAGCTGGAAATATCTCTATAGATGGCCAGTTCTCAGATCTGCTGTGATGACATGGTGGGTCAAAATGCTGCCATCCTAGTCTCTAGGTCTGAGAGTAAAAGAGAGGACAGCCTACATGGCAGGATGCAGGCCAGACCCCGAGTGCCCACTTCCCCTGCAGTGGGGAGAAACTGGGAGAAAAAACAAGAAAAAAACAAAAAACAAAAAACAAAACAAAACTCTGGGACATGAACGGACTTCCAAAATAAAGCTGCATGGAAGTGCTTGTTTATTTCTCAAAAATCTAGTTTTGAGAGAAGAGGAGCTCGGATGAGACCAATTTCTACTCGAAGGGAAAAGAAAGCTGCTTCCTAAGTTGGCACCAAGAATTCTGAGAAACCAAGCAAAACAGAATTGCAAGTATCAGCAATCCACACTTTCTCAACAGGATGAAGCACCTGTTAAACAGTCGGGTCTTTCTACCTTTTGGCAGTGAAAAAAAAAAAAAAAGAAAGAAAAGAAAAACCAAACCACAAGGCTTTGGAAGGGCTCAGGTCATGTTCCAAACTAAACAGAAAACCTACGAAGCTGAAAAACGAACAGCGATTCCTACTAGCTGCTTGACTCCACCCTCTCCACACAGAAACAGGTGCGTGACATGACGGTGACGCTAACTTGGTGCGGTTTCAAAACTGAATACACACTTCGTTGTGACAGTTTGTACCCCAGAGCTGGTCCCATCTCTGGCCTGCCCCTCTGTCCCACACCAAGTGTGTGTGTTGGGTTCACAAAGATCAACAACCCTTTTCCTCTGCCCCTGAGGACAGGGACTTGAGAAATGAAAGAAGTCCTGGGACCCCGAGAGCCCTGGGCCAGTCCTGGCCATGGAGGCTGAATTCCAAAGGCTCAGGGACTGCATCCGGATGTACAGTGGTCGCCAGGCCGGCAGCGAAACGCTCCCGCAGAGGACAGACAAAACCAGCTCCTTCTAGCTTCCTATTGGAACGTTGAGTTCTCTTTCTACTGATGCTGAAGGAAAACAGTTTCATCCACAACCCACTGTGGCCTGGTGGCCTTCTTGCTGGGTCTACGCGGCTGATGATGGCACGTCCCTGGTGGGAAAGCCCCTCTCATATGACCTTTAGCAGGAACTCGTACGTTGCGTTGATGATGCCCCATGAGATGAGGGAGCGGTGGTAGTTCAGATGGGCGCCTCTGAAGAGGTTTATCAGCTTCCGGTCCCGTTCCAGCCAGATGGTTTTGAACACCTTGGGGAAAGACTGGAAGTCCCCTCCGATCTGGGACTGGATGCGAGTTTTCACGACATTAATTGGGAAGAACAAGAAGCCTAGCATGGCCCCCAGCAGGCCCCCACAGATGAAGTCGTTGACTAGATGGGCACTGTGACTTGTGGCAGTGGGCAAGTACTCCTTGATGGGACCCCGCAGGCCAAAAAAAAGGACATTGCTGAATCCATTCCGGAAGAGGATGGGCACAAGGCCCCGGTAGTACTCACCGACGCCATGGGGCCGCAGTGCCCGGAAGGCCTGGTAAGTGTTGGTAAACTTGTCGTGGTGTCGGTGGTCTTGCAGCAGCGTCTGTACTCTCTCCAGTGGCGTGAAGATGGCCTCTGTCGTGCCTGCCAGCACGGCTGCCACGCCACGGGTTGCGAACGTGGGCGCATTCACGTGCTTGCCTAGCAGGCAGGACAGGTCCTCGTAGAGGCCGAACATGAGCGCCAGTGTGGTGGTCTTCTGCAGCAGTGGCGGCAGGATGCCGCGGTACAGGTTCCGCAGCCCGTCCCTGCGCAGCTGCAGCACAGCATCGCGTGTCCTGATGCCGTACAGCTGCTGCCGGAAGAGAACCTTCTGGATGGGGAAGGTAATGGCCACGTTGTTGAAGGCCGCGCAGCAGCCACACAGGTAGTGCCTCATGTCACCCACGTTGGCGATGTGGGGCGCCAGGTCCTGCTTCGGGGATGCCAGGATGGGCGGCCTCTTCTCATGAGCTTCGGAATCCATCATGTTGCTCCAGGTCATTTCTCATGAAGGACTTTTTTTTAATCTATAGACAATAAATGACAATGGGTAAACCTTTTCGCAAAGAGCTGAACACACTGAGGTTCCTCCCTAATCCGTCCTCCAGTTTCTGGCCACGCATTCCCTGTTAGACTGCATCAGTGGGTCTTGGGTACCTTGAGAGGTGCTCTGGAGATCCCACAGGGTCGTCCCCTTCCTGCATGACTCGGGGAGGCCACACTTCATGCACACACTCCAGCCGCACCAGTCCAGGACGGACTGCAGATGCGCTCAGGAGACCTCATCTACTTTTGTACGCAGGGAGCAGAAGGCATAGTCCTTTTTCATGAAAATATGATATGTTAACATATTATGGACTTATCGTCGTTATGTTAAAAAACAACATTTGCAATTTCTGCTTTTGGGGTAAGTTCTGTGGTGTAATGAGTTAAGCTGCCATCTGGATGGCACCGCTTTAAGTCCTGGCTGCTCTGCTTTCGATCCAGCTCCCTGCTAATGCTCCTGGGAGAGTATCAGAGGATGGCCTGAGTGTCTGGGCCCCTGCTTCCAGGTGGTGGAAGACCCAGATGAAGCCTTGACCACTGAGGCCATGTGGGGAGTGAATCAGTGGGTGGAAGATTTCTCTTATCTCTCCCTCTCTCTATAACCCTGACTTCCAAATAAATAAAATAAACCCTTAAAAAAACTCTGCTTTTAACTCATAAAATGTTTTACCAAAATCTACAGGACTTTCAAGAGTGTAAAGGAGCCCTGAGCCCCACTGGACAACACCCCCAGTACTGGCACACTGGACTGGATGATGGTGTATCTCCAGAATCCCATTCATTCATCCTAGTCCTACTCAGATGTACTGCGTATCTACCAATGCAACCCTTGCTGAGTGTCAGAGAGCCAAAGACAAGGAGCTCACAGACTGGCAGGAGAGTCTGCTAAGGTAAGCAATGGCACCCCCAGTAGCCCCGTGTATGTTTGTGTGGGGGGTGATGGGCACCAAGCATGCACCCTAGGAGGAGCAGGTGTGGCAGAGTGTGGCTGAGGCTGGCCTGCAGGTGTGCACCAGGCCTGCACTTCCCCACTCTTCGCTCTCAGAACAACTCCATGAAAGTTGGGCTGGGCTTTACAAGGGGGGGGGGGGCGGGGACCCAACATTCTCCTTCATTCAGTTGCGGTTAGTCACTGGTGGAGTTGACAATGTGAAGTGACAGACTCCAGAGCTCACAACCCTGCCACCACACCCTGGATGGCAATGACCCTGGGAGGATGCCCTGAGAAAAAGATGGGCACCTCAGATAATGCAGACAAGGACGCAGTGCCTAAGTACACAGGCTGTTCCTTGAGTGTGCTCCAAGGCTGAGCCCTACCTCCTAACACACCTGCTTGCATGGAATGTAAGGTGTGTCTGGTCAGTCATCTAACTGGATTCTCCCTATGTCCCCACCCACTCTCCCTTCCCCCAAAACAGATCCAAATTCCCACACCACAGATGGTCCTGGAAATCATAAACATCTTTATTATATTTTAGATCCAGCAGGGTAAATATTTTTAATTTCTCAACAGTAAAGGATCATATTTAACTAAAATACTAACAGAAGATCAAATAACCTGATTGAAACAATGGGCCAGGGACCTGAATCAACATTTGCTTAAACATGAAGTACAAACAGCAAGGGGAGTAGAAAGATGTCCTAACATCACTAAGCATCAGTCCTCCAACGGCAAACACTCCACACCCATCTGGTGATCAAAAACAAAACAAAAACTCCAGAACGCAGAAAGTGACAATTCTGAGTGAGGACGTAAATTTGGAACCCTGGTGCACTGCTGATAGGATGACGAAATGGTACAAACACTAAGAAAAACAGCATGGTGGTGGCTCCTCAAAAAACTAGACAGAACCCCCATGGGATCCGGCAATCCCACTTCTGGTATCTAACCAAAGTAAGTGGAAGTAGACCCTGCTGGGGCAGTTTCCCAGTCACAACAGTCATGAAGGAAGCAGCCCAAACACATTTGAGGGCCCAATAGGAAGCACACAAGTCCGTTACAGCCAAGGGCAGGCAGCCACAGCCACAGCCACAGAAGGGAACAGCCCTGTTGAGCCCCAGGCTGTAGGGACTGGCTGAGAACCAGCTAGAGTTCATACATGACCTCCATAATATGGTTCCTCCCAAGATCCACAGATTCAACTACCAGGCAGTCACAACGATGCTCACAATAAAAATGCTGACTACAAATTAAACACTCATCAGTAATAGCCATGCGTCTTCAGGATGAATCCATAGGACAAGCTACTTACTGCACAGACATTACAATAGCAGCAGGGAGGGGCAGTCGGTACAGTCAGGAAGATACTGCTTTGGGACGCCCACACCCCATACTGAGTGCCTGGTGGGCGCCTGGCTCTGCCTTTGGGCCAGCTTCCTGCTGATGTACACCCTGGAAAGGTGGCAGACAATGGTTCAGGGCTTAGGGCCCGACTACCCAAAGGGCAGACCTAGACCAAAATCCCAGCTCCTGGCTTTGGCGTGTTTCAGACCCGACTGGTGTGAGCACTTGAGGAGAGAACAAGTGGATGGAATCTCTCTGCCTTCCAAACAAAAACAAAACAAAACAAAAATAATAAAAAATAAATAACAAATTTTAAAAGAAGTTACACCTGACTATCATTACAGTCCAGTCAGGATTCACATGTCCACACAGTCACCTGGCTGTCCCCAAGGAGCTCCACAGTGGCAGGGCAAAATCTTGGCACTGTCCATCGGGATGACCGTCACCTGTACTCAGCTGGGAGCAGCGACATTCCTTTTTTTTTTTTTTTAAAGATTTATTTGTTTTATTTATTTTTGTTGGGAAGGCAGATTTACAGAGAACTTTTCCATTCACCGATTCACTCCCCAAATGGCTACAATGGCCAGAGACGATCCAAACCAAGGAGCCAGGAGCTTCTTCTGGGTCCTCTGTGAGTACAGGGTCCCAAGGCTTTGAGCTGTCCTTGATTACTCTCCCAGGCCACAAGCAGGGAGTTGGATGGAAAGTGGAACAGCTGGGACACAAACCAGTGCCCATATGGGATCCTGGTGCTTGCAGGGGAAGGATCAGCCAGCTGAGCCATTGTGCCAGGCCCATGGTGAGGTTCCTCAGAATTGCACTGCTCAAGGATCCAGGAGCAAACAACAAATAATCACTCACGTGAAAACCCACAGAAGGAACACCAGAGGGCTTAGGGGAACAACTGGTAGACCCTCCGTGTCTCCAGGCTGCAGCCTGCACAGCCCTCCTCCCTGGGTCTCTTGCAGCTCACTTGGCTTGGGCCTCATTCACTCCTTACTCCCTGCCCTCTTCCAACCTACCCATCATTTCAAGATAAACTAAAAAGAGATGTTCTTATGTGAAAAGAAGCAAGGTGCATGATGACCATTTGGGCATGTTTCATGAGCACAGAGAGCGCCACACTCTGAAGGGCCGCATGCCTTCAGGTGAAGGTCCTGCCCCTACTGATCCCATCTCCTGTTTACATTGCTGCTTCTGTTCTCTGTGTCCCTCTTAAACTAGGTCATGGTGGGCAAACCTTAAACCCATTCCAATGAACACTGTTGTGCCCTTTAATAATGTGGAATAGGCAGGCATGATAGCATAGCAAGTTACACTGCTGCTGCTTCGGATGCCAGCATGCTGGCCCTATCAGAGTTCCCGGGATCAAGTCCCACCTCTGCTTCTGAGCCAACTTCCTGCTAACCTGCACCTGGCGGGAACAGGTGGTGGTTCAAATATGTGGGGCCCTGTTACTCAGGCAGCAGACTCAAGAGGAATCCCTGGCTCCTGATTCAGGGCTGGCCTAGTCCCAACTGTACTGCGCTTTTGGGGAGTGAAACAGGATGGAAGAGCTGTCATTCTACTTTACAAATAAGTAAATAAATAAAGTTTGAAAAAATTCTATTAATTTCCTAATTTTCATGAGTTTCCTAATTTTTCTGTTGGAACTTCTGTTTTTCCCTTACTGAACTGTAAAATATTCTTACACACGAAGAGTAATACTGCTCAAATTGTGGCAAATGCTTTTGCCACCTTGTCTGTGCCATCTTTGTGATACCCAAGTTCTTGAAGTGGATGTCAGAACTGCCCGCCTGGGGAGCAGCAATAGGCCTCCCAGCCAATACTGTATCCCACAGTGCAGCTCCAGCTCCCGACTCCAGCATCCAGCCACTGCAGACCCATGTAGGCAGCAATGAGGGTTCCACTGAGTGGGTGCTTGCCTCCTATGTGGGAGACCTGGACCATGTTCCCAACTCCTGGTCCTGGCCAGCATTGCTGATACCTCGGGAATGAACAGGCAGGTAGATTTGTCTTTCAAAAACAGAATGAGGTAATGGTGTCGCAATACAGCACCATGTGTGACGCCAACATACTGTATGAGTGCTGGTCTGACTCCTGGCTCCACTTCTGCTCTAGCTCCCAGTTCATGAGCCAGACAAGGCAGTGGGGGACAGTTCAAGTACTCAGGGCCCTGCCACCAAGTGGTAGATGAATTGGCTGGAGTCCCAGGCATTTGGCTTCAGCCTGATCCAACCCTGGCCACTGTGCCCATTTGGAGAGTGAGCCAGTGGATAGAATACTTCCATCTCTCCCCTCTGTAACACTGCCTTGCAAATCATTTAATCAATTAAAAAAAAAAAACACCCTACCCCACAAAAAACAATCTTCTTTGGCTTATAGATCTTATGTCTGCTTTAGCAGGACTTTATTATTCCAAAATCATAAGCAGCTAACCCAGGCATGCTTCCAGAACATATAAGCCATCCCTTATCATCCACACCTTCACCTCTGTGAACTTCCAGTACAAGCAGTGGGACTAAGATAAGAGACTGCTGACTAATGGATTTGCTTTCCATTGGCAGTTTGCTTAATTTAAACACTTAGAGCATTTGCTTTTTTCCCCTTCATTTCATTCTTTTTCCTCACTGACCCAGTACTAACCTGCTTTAACCGACTGTAGCAGCAGATGCTATCAGCAGAGCCAAGTCTACCTCACGAGGGCATGGTGTCTTCCCATCTACAAACTTCACGGCTCTGAAGTACTTTTTTGGTGAAGTCCAGGCTGCCTCTGGTGCTGAGCAATTTTCACCTTTTCAGCCACTAGCTATGAATAGGTTGCTAATTCTAGCACGTTTTTTGTCTGCACATGAAAAAGTTCCCCATTCTTGTGGCTGGAGCTCGGACTCAGCCAACCGAGCCCTCCCACTATTTCTCAGCTTTCCGGGAGACTGCCCTGACCACAGGCGACAGTGCCCACAGAGCATTCTGCCTTCTTTTCAGCAAGGGAGTTCTTGCTTTCTTCCTTCTCACTGGGCTAGCTAAGGCTTCCTTGAATAAAATTATGGTAAGATGAACAGCCCATAATTTTTCTTGACTTTAGGGGGAACTCTGCCAGAGCTTACCATTAGGCAGGATGCTGGCTTCCGCTTTGAACAACAGGAAGTTCTTGTCATCCGAGGGTTCACAATCCAGGTCCCAGTGGTTTTGCGGAGACCAAGCACCATGACACAGCTGAGCCACGCAAGGTCAGTTCCTGCTCCCCATTCAACCCATGTGTCTCATAAGGGGCACAGACATGAAGGACGGTGCCCAAACCCATTCAGTCACTGCTCTGATCTGATGAACTACACTAAAACCACAAAACTTCAGGCTCATCCAAAGAAATACAAATGTGGCAGTAAAAATATAAATTCTTGCCCCTGCCACAGTTGATTATAAAACTGGAATTCGTTAAAATAGATTCAATTTTTCTAGTACTAATGCTAAGCTTAGCACAGGAAACATACACTTCTGTGTGCCTGAGTTTAGCCCCGGCCCTCCTTTGCCACTGTCACTCATGCAGGGCAACCCTGCGCTTGGGCGAAACGCAGGAAGCCTCCGGAAAGCATGGCCTCATCCTGATCCCAGGCCACTCCCACTGTATGACCTCTGATGTCACTCCCCTCTCTGACTCAGTCTCCTTGTTTTGAACAGGATGATACCAACCCCTCAGACTGTCTGAACACAGGTCAGGTATCAAGAGGACTGTGCGGGGCACAGGAGGGACACACCAGGACCAGCTGTTGGCATGTTTGTTTCTGAAGCTCCGAATGGGTGTGCACCATACCTCAATGTATATGGTGGGACTGTGTCCTAATAAACACATTGGAAAACACCCTAAGTTAAAGGGGAATTTGATACACTCTACCCACAGTGGAGCTCCTCAGCCTCACAGACCCAATGAGCTGCATCTGCCCCAAGGAAAAAAAATCAAAATCCAGGGTGTGGCTGCCAAGGACCACGGGCCATTTTCTGCACCATCACAGAGCTGAAAGATTGTCACCTGAACAATCAGAATAATCAGAAGTAGCAGAGACTGTTAGGCTAGCAAGCTGCCTGGCTGTTTCCTTAGCCTGTATGAAGGGGGTGAATGCTACTTGGCCATCTCTACTCACTGGCTAGCAACTGTTTCTAATTTTCCCTTCACTATTCCATGTCAGGCTTCTGGTTTCAGTGCTACCTTCCGCTCAGGCCCAGCATGAGCAAGCCCCTGGCCTCCTGGCTGTGGAATCAGTTATCTGCCCCTGAGATTTCAAAGGACTCACCTGTCACCTCACCTGCGCCTGCTGCTTGGAAGCCACAGAGACTTCTGTCGGCTTTCCTGACCTCTGCCATGGTTCCTGCATTGGCTGGACTCTGTCTTTGGCAGTCGGCTGCAATAACTTGATTTCCTAGAGGACAAGGGAAAAAGGAAAGTCTGGTTTAAATTCTACAGCCGTATAAATTGCTTTATGTTTTAAAAAGTTACTTGTAGGGCCCAGCATGGTAGCCATGGTAGCCTAGTGGCTAATTTCCTCGGCTTGCATGTGTCTGGACCCCATATGGACGCCGGTTCATGCCCCACCTGTTCCACTTCCCTTCCAGCTCCCTGCTTGTGGCCTGGGAAAGCAGTCGAGGACGGCCCAAAGGGGGGGCCTGTATCTGCGTGGGAGACTGGCAAGAGGTTTCAGGCTCCTGGTTTTGGATCAGCTCAGCTCTGGCTGTTATGGCGACTTGGGGATTGAACCAGCAGATGGAAGATCTTCCTCTCTGTATTTCCTTCTCTGTGTATCTGCCTCCCCGCCCGCCCCCAAAAAAATGTTAAAAAAAAAAAAAAACAAAAACACCAGTTATTTGCAACCTTGTGCCTTTATGTTCTGTTTTCTTCTGGAGAAGAGTACCCAGTTTATCTACTTTTATATTCCTCTGACCTCTAGCAGATAGTCTGTTCTACTACCCATTTATTCTTTCATCTTTTTTTTTTAAAGATTTATTTTTATTTTTATTGGAAAGGCAGATATACAGAGAGGAGAGACAGGAAGATCTTCTGTCCGACGATTCACTCCCCAAGTGAGCGCAACGGCTGATGCTATGCTGGTCTGAAGCCAGGAGCCTCTTCCGGGTCTCCCACACGGGTGCAGGGTCCCAAAGCTTTGGCCCGTCCTCCACTGCTTTCCCAGGCCACAGGCAGGGAGCTGGATGGGAAGCGGGGCTGCCGGGATTAGAACCAGCACCCATATGGGATCCCGGGCGTGCAAGGTGAGGACCTTAACCACTTGCGCCATCGCGCCGGGCCCTGTCTTTCATCTTTGAAACTTGCTTTTTCTCTTACTACCTCCTTTCTCTTGCTTTTTTTCATCTTCTTTTTCCCCCAAAGTTTCAAGCTGGATCATTATTTTCATTAAAATTTTTTTTTTTCCTTTATTTTACTGGAAAGGCAAATTTACAGAGATGGAGAAACAGAGGGATCTGTCTTCCATCTGGTGACTCACTCCCCAAAGGCCACAATGGCCAGAGCTGGGCTGATCTGAAGCCAAGACCCAAGAGCTTCTTCCAGGTCTCCCACGCAGGTGCAGTGTTCGAAGGCCATCCTCTACTGCCTTCCCAGGCCACAAACAGGGATGGGAACTGAAGCAGCTGGAACACAAACTGGCACCCATAGGGATTCTGGAGCTGACAGGGGAAGGATTAGCCAACCGAGCCACTGCACTGGGTCCTATTATAATTTATTGACTGTTTAAGGCTAAACATTGTCCTTTGAGCAAAACTTTATTGCATTTGATATTACTCCTGTTGCTTCTAAGCTTTTGAAATCATCAGCTACTGAGCCTGGTTCCTTTATCTGCAATAAATGTGTGATTTAAAAACACCCACTAGGGACCTGTGGGTTGGAGTATAACAAAGATCCCCTTGCCTGTGGTTCTAGCATCTCATGTGTGCAGTGCTCTGAGTCCTGGCTGCTCCACTTCTGATCTAATTCTCTGCTTATGACCTAGGAAAGCAGAAGAGGATGTCTCAAGTCCTTAGGTCCCTATATTCATGTGGGAGACCCAGAAGAAGCTCCTGACTCTGGCCATTACAGCCATTTGGGGTGTGAACCAGCAGACAGAAGATATCTCTAAAACTCTTTCAAATAAAATAAGTAAACCCAGAACAAGCAAATAAACAACAACCATAACAACAACAACATCACAGTCCTCTCTTATTTTGTGACTTTAACATGACTCATGTAAGAGAACATTCTGCAGACACTTGCTAAATGGAGCAGGGTTTGGTCATCACTAATCACCTAGTCGACTGTTAGCTGATCTCACAGCAATGTACTTGGTGCACAGAGCCTATAATAATACATGTGGTCAATAGCATCAGACTTTACAGACCAAGGATCATACAGGATAAGGGAGGGAGCATTAGCTTATCAATGGAACACGTCAATTGTTTCTATACTTTTGTTTGGAACTCTTTTGTTTTGTATATCCTACCAAGTGTTCTCATTCACATGCTATCCACTCAGTTGTTCTCAAATGATATCAATTTAGTTATACGAATGGTATCCACTCAGTTGTTCTCATACAAGTGTTAGCCTATCAATTATAATCCTGTGTTTGCTAACAATGTCCTTCTACAAATCCCCCTTCTGTGTTTTTTAAAGTTAGGCCTGAAATATGTAGCTGGGGGAACATGCTCTTGGAAGAGAAGAAAATGGGCAGAATCAATACTATATATTATATAAAGATGACTTCACCAGGGACCACATACCCTAACTGCCTATTATCCCATCTAGCTTCTCAACATCCTTTTTCCCAGGAGAATGAACCCTGGCTGCTGTCAGGGATAGGAGCCCCCGATGATGACCACCCTGGCTGCTTCATGCTGAAACAGAGGAGAAAGGGGACCACAGCAGCCAGGCATTCTCCAGGGAATGCATCTAGGGGTCCCTGGTAGAAGGTAGAAAAATAACAGCTACAATTTCTCCCAAGCTAGCATGTTTTTGAGTTCAACCTAAATCAGAGTGGCACAGGAACAGTGAAAGGATCAATATTAACATCCATCATATATAACAGCTGAGTACAAACTTAACATCAAAATTTCTATGCAGTTACACCTTATTTAGCACTAATAGTTTTTTAAATCGATAAAAATTTTTTGTGGAGAATCTTAACTCACAAGTTAAACTTTGCAGTTTATAGTATTCAAGCATGATTTTACAGAACTTCGTGCATTTCAGGATAATCAAAACAGTTTTATAATTCTAATAAGCTACATGATAACAATTGAAGAAAAGTCTTGGGCAGGTGAACAGAAAAATCCCCAACAACTCAGTGAGTGAGGAAGAACTGAACTCTACTTAAAGGCCAAACAGGACGCCTGTCCAGCAAGTACAGGTTAAGCAATTATAGGCGAGCTGGCCTTCTACTCTGAACTAATTTTGGGGGCTCCTGAACAACCTGATGGTCGGTCAGTGTAAGAGGGCTGGTAGCCAAGGCTGGAACTAGTAAGCACCAGAGAAAGCTCCTCTCCTGAGTCCAGAAGGAAATATACAATCCTTTTATCTCTGAGTTCCACCCGGGGCTCCTGGCTGTACTTCCTATGTCACCAGACCCTATGAAGAGGGTACTGGACTGCTTCCATCCTGTGTGGAAAATCCGATAGGAAATGACTGACCTCAGAGTTCTCGGCCTGCGAGGGCATTCAAATTCCCTGTGAACTCCTTGGCAACTGGGATGCTCGGTGTCCACTCCAACAATCTTTGATGAAATATCCACTGCTTCTGCAGCAAAAGCACCTGGGAGGCCTCTGGGGGTCTCTGGGACTAGGATACAGACTTCCTCCTGCTCCGTTATGGGGTCCCCTCCTGCTCTGTACACACAACCTCCTTTAACAGGGTGTCAGGGTTGTCCTTGGATACCACCATAAGTTTCTATGGTTTTTCTAATGTCTAAGGCAGTTAAGAATTTGTTATCTATAAATAATAAATTACAGTTAAAGTCTTTCTCAAACATTCTAAGAAGGTGGAGAATTTCTCTGCACTCCTGACCTGTAGTGGAACAAAAAGAACATTAAGAAACAAATCTGGTTTTTTAGTTCTTTTAGAGGCAGCTCCACTGGGGATTCCACCTTCACCAGGGTCAGGCTGTATCCAAGGGAGTTGCTGCACTTCGAGGTCAGATGAGCCATAGGGAAACCCACAGTTTTGAGGATCCATCAGGAATTCTAGGGACAAGAGCATAACCTTTCCCATGGGTTATTAGTGTTCCAGAATAGCAATCATTTACACAGGGATTTGTAAAATCTTATCAGAGAATGTAGAAAAATGTTTATTAACAGGAGTGTTAATGCCTCCTTGTGGCAAATCTAAAAAATTAAGTGTTAGAGACAGAGTATCTCTGCGTGATATAACCCCTTTTTTGTTTTTATGGCCTTTTAGGGTACAGTGTGCACATTCAATAATAGCTTGGCCTTGAGGCTTATAGGGAATACCTGTAACATGTTGGATGGCCAACTCTAAACAAAATGTTCTGAAACTTACTAGTTTATGCAGGTCTGTTGTCTGTTTTGATAGAAGAGGGAATTCCCATTGCTCCCTGCTCCAGCCATTTAAATATTCCCACACATATGAAGAAGTAGGTCTGTAGGACACACAAGCCTTTTTAAAAGCAGTGATGGTATTAACATCTAGGCTTTCATAGGTAGGCTGATTATTTTCTTGACTAAGTATAATTGGAAAAAGCAACTGGAATTCATGAAGTCTCCAGGGAATATCAGACATGGGAACGTCTTTGATCAGATTCAAGAGACTGCGTTGGCTGATATTTATCCTATCCTCATTTACCTTACTAGAAGATTCAGAGAAGTCATGGGATTTTACTATTTTAACATGGGAGCTTTAGTTTCTTTCCTAGCCACATTACAGTGGCATCTCTCATTAGGGGTGTCTCTCCTGAGTTTTCTAATTTCTGCATCTGTAGTACAAGGCCTTTCTCTTTTAGCTGTGTTAAAGTGGCATCTCCTGTTAGGAGGGTTTCTCACAGTTCTTTTTCATCTTCCTTATCCGCAGTAAAAGCCATTTCATTCCTAGCCACATTATGGTGGTGTCTCCCATCAGGGAAGCCTCTCACAGGTTCCTCTTTGCCATCCTCATCTGTACTATGAGGCGTTCCTTTTGTAGCCATATTACAACAGTCTTTCCGGTTAGGTGGATCTCTTAAGGATTCCCTTTCTCGTTCTTCCTTGTTTGTACTATGAAACATTTCTTTTTGGGCCCGGCGCGGTGGCGCAAGTGGTTAAGTCCTCGCCTTGCAACCCCGGGATCCCATATGGGCGCCGGTTCTAATCCCGGCAGCCCCGCTTCCCTTCCAGCTCCCTGCTTGTGGCCTGGGAAAGCAGTTGAGGATGGCCCAAGGCTTTGGGAACCTGCGCCCGTGCGGGAGACCCGGAAGAGGCTCCTGGCTTTGGATCGGCATAGTATCGGTCCGTTGCGCTCACTTGGGGAGTGAATCATCGGACGGAAGATCTTCCTCTCTCTCTCTCTCCTCTCTCTGTATATCCGCCTTTCCAATGAAAAAATAATAAAAATAAAAATCTTTAAAAAAGAAAAAAAAAAAAAAAAAAAAAAAAAAGAAACATTTCTTTTTTAGCTACATTTTGGGGGTGTCTCCTCTTAGAGGAGTTTCTTGTAGGTTCCCCTTCTAAAATTATAACAGCTTTAATTAAAGCCCATGTAATCCAAAAGCTAACATGAATACCTTATATCCTTCCAGCCTTTTCACCATTTTTTTTTTGAGTAAAATACTTAAATTCAGTTTCTAGTGTCCCTTCATCTGGGGACCAAAGGTTATATTCACAAATAACCTCTAGGGACTATGGAATTGTATCATAAAATGATTCAATAATATTAACATGTAAAAAAAACTGTATAAAAAGCAGCTTTATACAATAAAAATTCACTGAGTAAATGAAAAAACAAACAAACAAAACTAAATAACCGGGCCCGGCGCGGTGGCGCAAGTGGTTAAAGGTCCTCGCCTTGCACGCCCGGGATCCCATATGGGCGCTGGTTCTAATCCCGGCAGCCCCGCTTCCCTTCCAGCTCCCTGCCTGTGGCCTGGGAAAGCAGTCGAGGACAGCCCAAAGCTTTGGGAACCTGCACCCGCGTGGGAGACCCGGAAGAGGCTCCTGGCTTCGGATCGGCATAGTATCGGCCCGTTGCGCTCACTTGGGGAGTGAATCATCGGACGGAAGATCTTCCTCTCTGTCTCTCCTCTCTGTACATCCACCTTTCCAATGAAAAAATAATAAAAAATAAATCTTTAAAAAAAAAAAAAAAAAAAAAAAACTAAATAACCTCTAAATAAGAACGCAATTGCTGCCTAGTTACCTTTATTCCACTTTTCACTAAAAATTTCTGCATGAGAGACAAAAGACTATGCTCTACACTGCTTCTGGCCCACGTTCCCACTCACCACTTTCTGTGGGGGTCTCCATCGCACGTTTTTTATTCTTTCAAGTCCCTGTTTGGCGCCACTTATTAGCTGTCCTTGCAGTGATGGACTTGTGCATGGAGCCTATAACATGCGTGGACTCTGACAGGTGATCAAAAGCCGAAGTTTATTAGCGGCATCAGACTTTATAGACTGAGGGTCATGCAGGATAAGGGAGGGGGTATGAGCTTATCAGTGGAATCCATCAATTGTTTTGTATATCCTACCATGTTCTCATTCACATGCTATCTGCTCAGTTGTTCTCATACAAATGATATCAATCAGTTATACAAAAGGTATCCATCCAGTTGTTCTCATACAAGTGTTAGCCTATCAATTATAATCCTGTGCCTGCTGACCTTCTAGGATCACAATGTCCTTCTAGTCGACCACATCTTTCCACCCTTCCATTAAAAATTCACCACTCAGGCCCCAGCGTGATAGCATAGCAGTGGCTAAAGTCTTCGCCTTGACCATGCTGGGATCCTATATGGGCGCCAGTTCTAATCCCAGAGGCCACACTTCCCATCCAGCTCCCTGCTTGTGGCCTGGGAAAGCAGTGAAAGACATCCCAAAGCTTTGGAACCCTGCACCTGAGTGGGAGACCTACAAGAGGTTCCTGGCTCCTGGCTTCAGATCAGCTTAGCTCTGGCTACTGCGTCCACTTGGGGAGTGAACCATCCATCGGATGGAAGATCATCCCCTGTCTCTCCTCCTCTTTATATCTGCCTTTCCAATAAAAATAAATGTTAAAAAAAAACCCACACCACTCATATTGTTAATCTTTGATGAATCACATTCTTTTAAAAGTTTACTATTTTCACCAAGCAGAGCGAGACAAACCAACCTTCTCCCTGTTGCTTCATGCCCCACATGCCTGCCATAGCCAAGGCTGGCCTTACTAAAACCGAAGCTGGGAGCTTGAAACTCCAACGGGGTTATGGCAAGGATCCACATCCTTGAGCCATGTACTGCTTCCCAGGAGGCACAAGCCAGAAGCTGGATGGAAAGCCAGTGAGCTGGGACTCCCCTCGGAGCTTTCATGTGGGGATGCTGGCGGCTTCACCCGCTGAGCCACAAACCTGCCCGCCACTAACATTTGAAGTCCTAGAAATGCTGGACACCCAAGAAATGCTCTGCTCTTCTCCAGGTTTCAGGATTTAACAATGCAAGATCAGGAGGAACACGTCTGGTAACTTTTCATTTGAGAAGCAGCGCATACGAGCAAGAGTGTGTGCAGGAGCACATGTTCTGTTGTTCACTGATTCATACCTCACCAAGACCTGGGCCGTCCAGCTCTCCACAGAGGAGGCAGCAACCCAACCACCGGAGTGACCCACAGTGCCTGTCAGGGTCTGCACCAGCAGCAGGCACACTTGGGAAATGCCTACGACAGGGGACATGGTCACCTCTCCACCTGCAGGCTGAACACCTGCTCCCTTCAAAACTGCTGACACATCCATGCTCACCAAGCTACCCACGTCCATGAACAACAGTGTCAAGTCTACGCTTCTCCTTTTTAAAAAAAGTTTATTTTTATTGGAAAGTCAGCTATACAGAGAGGAGCAGAGACAGAGGAAGATCTTCCATCCGATGGTTCACTCCCCAAGTGAGCGCAATAGCTGGAGCTGAACCAATCCGAAGCCAGGAGCCAGGAGTTCTTCCAGGTCTCCCACACGGGTGCAGGGTCCCAAGGCTTTGGGCTGTCCTCAACTGCTTTCTCAGGCCACAAGCAGGGAACTGGATGGGAAGCAGGGCCAGTGGGATTAGAACTGGCGCCCATATGGGATCCCAGCGTGTCCAAGGCGAGGACTTTAACCACTACGCTATTACGCCAGGCTCTACACCTCTCATTTTTACTGGAATATTTTATTACTTTCTCAAATTGTGCAAATGACAGTTACTTCATCTAGTGTGTACTGACTCTCAGAAACAAAATGGAAAACTGGTTAAGGAAGCCAGTTATTCATGGACTACAAAATCAAAGTGTTCTAAGAAAATTTCTTTTCAAAAATTGATTTATTTGAAGGGGTTGGGAGAGGCAGAGAGAACAGAAAGCTGTCTTCATTTACTGGTTCACTCCTAAGAGGCTGCAACAGTCATGGCTGAGCTGGGGTCAAGTCAGATGCCAGAACTCCACCAGGATGTCCCACAGGAGTGGCCCAGGCTCCAGTATTTGGGCCATCCTCACCGGCTTTCCAGGCACATTACAGGAACTAGATCAGAAGTGGAGGAGCCACATTAGGGCTCCTACGGGATGGCAGTGTGGCTGGTGGCAGTCTAACTTGCTGCACGTCTCGGGTCCCTATTTTAAGGCATTTAAGAACACTAAAGCACATTATAATCTGACTTTCAACAAGGAAAGCTGGATGGGAATGAGGGATGTTATGAAACCCTCCTGGCCTTGGGCCATTCGGGCTGTCCTCTAGCTCCCAGCTGCACGCCAGGGTGTGAACCGGCTCTTGGTGGGAAGACAGCGTGCACAGAACTGTGGGTCAGAGCAGCTTGCAGTTTTTTGTCTGCACTGTGAACATGGCTAAATTTGTGTTTGAACTGAACTAACTCAGGTATTTAAAATCTTCAACAAGGATAACTTTCTGCAAAATTAATCCCTGTAACTTGACCCTTGTCAGCTACCCAAAGCACCACCAAGGCAGGCATGCTCTTTAGCTTCTTTAGGCTGACTTTCAAGCGACCAGTAGCGAGTGCCGAACTTCTGTGGCCTAAGAAGGTATAAAGTCCGAAAACACTCACTGTAATTTACAACCCCTGCGGGCTGCACACGCTCAGATGTGACCCCGGCACGAAGGTCTCAGTGCAGAAACTGGGCAAGAGGGCGAATGTAGCTCTCCAGGGATGCCAAGTCCCACGACTCAGCCCGGGGTTCTGGCCCTGGCTACCACACGACTTGAAATCCACTCCTCGGGGCTCAGGTACACAGCAGATGCAGCAAACACCGCTACCCTTTGAGATGCGCTAGGGAACCCCAAAGTCGCCTAACCTGGATTCAGAACCCGTAAGGGACCGGGTCCGCACGAATCCCAGCGCGTTTGAGCGTCATGGAATCCAAAAGCCAGGGCAGGCTCAAACTGCCAAGGTGACCACCGATTTCTTTCCGAGGGTTTCTCTTCACAGGTACACAAGACCGAGCAGGGCGCAAGACCAGCTGGGTAGAGCCATATGGCACCAAACAAAGCTCTCGCGGAAAAGGTAAACACAGCTGATGTGCTGACACACCCCAGGCAGTCACACTCTGCACCAGATGATCCGCACGCGGACGGCCACCCCCCAGGCTCACCCCGAAAAGCCCTGCACCCGCCACCAAGCTTCCCATAAGGCTGTAAACACGGTGTCGCACAGCAAGCGTTCTCAGGGAGTCCAGTGCCCCGGTCCTCCCGATCGGTGAAAAGAGATACAGCAGCAGGTCGGACCCGACCGCCATCACCACGGCAACCTTGGGTCTCCGACACTCCGGGGTGTGAGGAGTCCCCAGGGCAGCCGGCCGGATGCCCGGGACCCAGGGTTGGGGGAGGCCCTGCGAGGAGCGTCCTTGCCCTGGCGGGTCCGCGCGACCCAAGGCCCGGCACAGCCGCCGGCGCCGGGGAAGCAGCCCCGGGAGCCCAGCGGGAGCACGGGAGCCCAGCCGCTCCTCGCCGCGCGCACCGCCCCGGGCGGGGCCTGCAGCCGCCGGGCCCGAGGAGCCGGGGCGCGTCCCGGGGCGCAGGGGGCACGGGCTGGGCTCCGGGGAGGGCGGCCGCCCCCTCGGCTGCCCCGTCTCCCCACCTGGGACCGGGGGCGCCCCGCTCGGCCCCGCACTCACCCATCTCCGCGGGCGCCCAGGCCCGGAGCCGCGCAGGACGCCCAGCGAGCGGCCCGGAGCGCCGGCAGCCCCCGCGCAGGCGCACACCTCGGCCGAGCCGCCGCCGCCGGTCACGTGACAGGAGCCCTGCGCCCGCCCCGGGCCTCCCGGCGTCCGCAGGCGGCCGGTCGCGGTTGCGGGCTTCCTCCTGGTCGCTGTCCACCGGGCCGGGCAGAGGGTCACCCCGTCAGGCTGCGGGATCCCGCCAACTGGGGCACGGAATCCCGGTCGCCGTACGGTGGCCTCACCGGGCCAGAAACAGCCGGCGCCTTCTGGAGCCGTGTCAGGGCGCGTGCGCGGACCATGGCACCGTGCCCAGGGCTGGCTCGTCTATTGGGTTTTGGCCCGGGACGGGATTGGGGTCCCCAAGACGTCCGATGCAGGTGCAGACCCGCTCCGGGGAAGGCTCCTCAACACACCGGGCTGAACACCCAGAGCCCGGAGGAGGCTTTTCTCGTGGAGAGGAGGAGTTTCGCACTCTGAGGTGATGGATTTCAAAGGGCTGGTGGCCCGGGCGGACACTCCTGGGTCCCTGGACTATCAGAGGCGGACACCTGGTGCCTCATCAGAGCGCAGAAGGAAGAGATTGGGGGCACCGGGAGCATTGAATGGGGCAGCAGTCAGGGAGAAGGCGTTAACCACGAAATGGTGTTTGCCTGTGTGGTGCGACTGCCTTGTCTCATTCTCAAAAAATAAAGAAGCCAGGCAGCCACCTGGCATGTTGGTAAGCAGAGGCAACTAGTACAAGATCAGAACACAGTGGTCATTCCCTGAAACATACAGGCGGGGGCATCCCTGACTCAGGAGCTCTGGGGTAGAGGGCTGCAGGCCACGGTGGCCAGAGACCCGCAGGCCCTCCACTGGCTGGTCCTGGGCTGTGTGGAAGACTCAAGGCCCAGTTCCTGTCATCCTGTCAGCGCCACCCCCATCCCCATTGCTCCGCCTCCTCCACCCACTCTCCATCCTTATTCTCTCCCTTCAGCTGCTGTGCCTCTTTGCAGCCTGCAGGATGGCTTGTCACTCCCAGCTCAGCAACCTGCCGAGGAGCCCCTCAGCCTGTCTGTGTGTCAGCCATGGGGGATCTCTCAGTGTTCTGCACATCTCTGTGTTTCTTTAACCCTGCTTTCTCCTTCGCCATCCAGTCGCCACCAAACGTGGTAGCCCTTCAAGGTCCTCTGGCCTCCTCCTCCTGAAGTCTTCTCTGATCACTCCACACTCTTGCCTTTGCCATTGGCACAAGGTTTGGGGAGGGGGACAAGGCTGTTTTGATTTCCCACCCCGTGTTATAGTCACCTGTGAAGGCATCTTTCCCACTGCCAGCTCCCAAAGGTGCTAGCTTTTCCGTGGTCCTCCAATTAAGTGCTTGCCAAAAAAGAAAGGGGGGGGGGGCGGTGCTGGGCAGAATGTGCTTTAGAGAAATGGAGAGGAGTGCTAGTGAAACTGAGGATCTTGGGGCCAGTGCTATGGCACAGTGGGTCAGGTGCTGCCTGCAGCTCTGGCATCCCATATGGGAGCCGGTTCATGTTCTGGTTGCTCCACTTCCAGTCCAGCTCTGATTGTTGGGAGCTAATAAGGGATTTAATCAGTGGAGGAAATAATTTTCTCTCTCTTTGTAACTCTGCCTTTCAGAAAAGATTTTTTTAAATTTACATTTTATTTATTTTTATTGGAAAGTCATATTTACAGAAAGGAAAGAGAAAGATCTTCTGTCTGCTGGTTCATTCCCCAAGTAGCTGCAATGGCCAGAGCTGAGCTGATCCAAAGCCAGGAGCCAGGAGCTTCCTCCAGGTCTCCCATGCGGGTGCAGGGTCCCAAGGCTTTATGGCGTCCTCTGCTACTTTCCCAGGCCACAAGCAGGGAGCTGGATGGAAAGCAGGGCTGCCGGGATTAGAATTGGTGTCTATATAGGATCCCAGAGCATACAAAGTGAGGACTTTAGCCACTAGGCTACTGTGCCGGCCACCAGAGAAATCAATCTTTGAACAATAAAGTGAGGATCTGGATTCTTAGGGGGAGCATGTTCACATCTACTGGCTGCTCCTTCAGTGCCACAGTGGCCAAGGCGCTGGGGCAGTCCAAAGCCTGTCCCATACTCCATGCAGGTCTGTGTGTGATGGGGGCCACGCCCTGCTGCCTTTCCCAGTGAGCCCCAGAAGAAGCTGCGATTAGTTGCTGAGCTGGGACCAGACCCGCCTGTGGCCCTCTGCAACCCTGTACTGGATGCTGGAGCCTGCTGATGGACATCTGCTCAAGCACTCCTGGTTCCCCTACTCCACACAACGCTTTCTAGAAAGGTTCCTGGTACCCTCAGCTTTCATGGTTTGTGTTCATAGAAACAGCTGTGTGCAAGCTGCCGGGGTCAGTCTCAGCTACTGCCAGGCAGCAACTGGTCATTTGTACTCAGCCCCAGCAAGGGATCAGTGTCCTTTCTTTCCCTCTGGCTTGCACTGGCCAGGCCTGTGCAATCCTCTGCGCATTTCCACATCACTGCCCTTCTTGCCCAGGCTCCCTCTTCCGGGCCAGCCTGTCCCTGTGACTGTGGCTGTTGCTGTCGCTGTGGTTTTGTATCTTGGTTCACGCCCCCGCACTGCGCATGGTTTGTGCCGGGAGGCTCTGCTTGTGTCATGATCATGTCCCGTCACTGCTGACCTTACAGCCTCCCACTGCAGAGCCCTCTGTGCTGTCAGCACCCTCCCCCTTCTGGCCCCGGTTGGGGCTCGAATTGTGCAGTCCTCCTGTCCCTGGGGCTGGTCTGTGGCTTCCAGGACTGTCTCCCCTCCCTCCCTTCTTGGCTCATCTTCCTGTCTTTTTTTTTTTTTAATTAAAAAGATGTATTTATTTTTATTACAAAGTCAGATATACAGAGAGGAGGAGAGACAGAGGGGAAGATCTTCCATCCGATGATTCACTCCCCAAGTGAGCACAACCGCCGGTGCTGTGCTGATTCTGAGCCAGGAGCCAGGAACCTCCTCCAGGTCTCCCACATGGGTGCAGGGTCCCAAAGCAGTGAGGCCGTCTTCGACTGCTTTCCCAGGCCACAAGCTGGGAGCTGGATGGGAAGTGGAGCTGCCGGGATTAGAACCAGCGCCCACATGGGATCCCGGCGCACTCAAGGCGAGGACTTCAGCCACTAGGCCATGCCGCCGGGCCCATATTCTTATCTTTTTTATAAATGTACTTTGTTTTTGATGTTGTTTATGTGGTTGAGAAGGATGTATGTCCATGTGGACCACTGGTTAGGGTGGGAAGGGTCAACATATGGGGCAAAGTGGATGAGACAATCACTTCCATTTTTTTTTCTTCTTCTTCTTGTATCTAGGGGAGGAGAGAGGGAGAAAGGGCCGCTCCCAGCAGCCAAATGCATCAATACCCAGGAGTGGGGGGTCGGCCACTTGATGTCATCCTAGGGTCCCCAAAGTGGGGCATGTTCTGAGGGTGCTGCTCAAGTGAGTTTGATAGCTCTGAGACACTGTTGATTTTGAGGCTCCAAGGATGAGAAAATCCTTCCAAGGTCCATTGGTTGAGATAGTACATTTTAGAATTTCCAATCACCCAGATATTTGCTGTGAAAGTTTGGCCAAGAGGGTTGTCCAATTTGTTCTGCCCTCCATGCTCTGCCATGGTACTAAGCGTTCTCTGCAGGCTTCAGTGGACTGCCCATCCCGCATGTGCACCTGGGCGTGCCAGCCACTGCACAGGCTTCAGCGAGCAGGAGGCCCAGTTCTGATACAAGCATTCCAAGGTCAGACCACAGATTCTATGATCATCCCTGTAGTCAGATTTTAAGCCCAGTCATCCATTTGGTGGTAGAAGGGTTCCTAAAGAAACCTCATGTCTTATGTGAGCCCAGACCTGACTCCCGCGTTTGCCAGCCAGTGTGGCAACTCCGGTGTGTCTGCATTCGAGGGCGCTTCAAGTGGCTGGTGGGAAGGCAGAGAGAAGAGGTAAACGTATTCCATGCAAAGATGGAAACCATCCCTGTTTTTGTTGTTGTTGTTGTACCACCCACTTCCCATGTGTTCTTTGAAGACCCCTTTACGTACAACACACAGAAGGAAGCCAGGTTTCATCCCACAGGTCTGTGAGATTGTTCCATTTTTCAAGCCAGCAGGAGAAAGAGAGACAAGTCTTCCATCTCTGGTTCCTTCCCCAGCTGGTTGCAATGCCAGGGTGGTTCAAAGCCAGGAGCCAGGAGCTTTCTTCTGGGTCTCCTACATGAATTCAGGGACCCAAGGACTTGAGCCATTCTCCACTGTCTTCCCAGGCCATGAGCAGCGAGCTGGATCAGAACTGGGGCAATCAGGCCTGGAACCAGGGCCCACTACAGGCAGAGGCTTAGCCTACTCCACAGTAATATTCACCCTGCTTTTGTTTGTTCTCAGGTGAGTGAGGCCTCACTAACAGTGAGTTTGAGCTGTTTTACTTTACAACCATTTTCAAAACCAGCCAAACTTCGAACAGTTCCCCTGTCCCCATTTGTGACTGTGATCTTGTGGGTGTGCAGAAGGGGGGTGGGGCTGGGCTCCCCATGCATGCTGAGGGGGAGCCTGAGAGCTGTGTTTCCCTAAACGTTAGAGCCCCTTGCAGCTGCCCAGCAACGCAGGCTCTGCAGATGGCAACACCGTGTTACCATGTTACCTAGGAGCTTGCTGGAGAGACAGGCTTCCAATCAGGTGAATCCAGCTCAAGGGTCAACAGGCTCACCTTGTGACACATCATGGCAAATGGGAGATGGGGCCTAGTGTCTCGGTTATAGAAGTTCCATTAAAACAAACAAAAACAAAAACAAAACAAAAAATAACAAGCAAAAAATCCCCCATTGTGCCCAGTGTGATGGCTCAGTGGCTAAATCCTCACCTTGCAAGTGCTGGGATCCCATAGAGGCGCCAGTTCATGTTCCAGCTGCTCCACTTCCCACTAGCTCCCTGCTCATGGCTTGGCAAGGCAGCAGAGGATGGTCCCTGCCACCCACATGGAGACCTGGATGGTGACCCTGGCTCCTGGCTTCAGGCTGGCCCAGTCATGACTGCTGTGGCCACTTGGGGAGTAAACCAGTAGATGGAAGATTTCTTGGGCCCGGCGGCATGGCCCAGCAGCTAAAGTCCTCACCTTGAACATGCCAGGATCCCATATGGGCGCCGGTTCTGATCCTGGCAGCTCCACCTCCCATCCAGCTCCCTGCTTGTAGCCTGGGAAAGCAGTCGAGGATGGCCCAAAGCCCTGGGACCCTGCACCCGTGTGGGTGACCTGGAAGAAGTTCCTGGATCCTGGCTTCGGATCAGCATAGCACCAACTGTTGGGGTCACCTGGGGAGTGAATCATTGGACGGAAGATCTTCCTCTCTGTATATCTGACTTTCCAATAAAAATAAAATAAATCTTTTTTAAAAAAAAAGACAAAAAGATTTCTCTGTCTCTGTTTCTCTTGCCCTTACTCTGCCTTTAAGATAAATAAA